TTAGCTCTGTTATTATTGTCAGTAGTATCATAAATATCATAGATTTTCTTAATTGTAATTTCCTATATAAAGGGTATAAAAATGCCTTGAAAAAAGGACAGATTGAAAAGAGATTCCTAACATTGTATTCAAAATACATTTAAAAACAATAATAAACAATCTTAACATTTTGCAAACATAAAACTTATAATTTATTTCTTGTTAACCAAATAAACTCTAATAAATAGCATATCAAGTTGATTGGATTTAAGTCATAGCTATTGCCTCCCTGACTTCAAATCATAGTTAACTTATTCGACAAAAAGAGTAACGTTAACAAGTGGTGATTCCTGCTAGGATACTACTGACTTTATACATAACAGATCGCTAACGGATATAGCAAGGTGTATAAAAGTTTAAGGAAAAAGAATTGAGAAACAGAAGATAATTTCATAAATAATGAACCGCTGACGAAATAGCATAGTGTATGAATTTTGAAGCAATTGAGAGAAATACAGTAGAATATATTGTAAGACATTATTCAAATTCTCCTCTTAATGAAGACTGTATTTGCAATTGGTGTTATCCACTCCCTCTATTTAATACACTTTCAATTAATTTTCAAAACTTCTGGAATTAGTTTCATCACGAATATTGAGCCGAAACTTACACTACAAGATCTGTTATTGCTTTTAATCTCTTTGAACAATTAAGTAACACTCCAGTATCAAAACATCGTAATAGCTGATTAACTAAGATAATTTATCAGTTGCTTTCTAGTCTTCGATATAGGACTATACCCTTCTCATCAGACGTAATATACTTGTATATTCAAGGTGTTTCTTTTGAAACAAATTGCTTTCAACAGCCTGTCGATCAATCTATTTCATTAAAAGTATATACAGAAATTCTTAATCAGGATTTAATACAGATCCAGAAAGACTGACAATTACTTCGACAATTAATTGCTTTTCCAGTATCCTCAGCAACTAGCTTATCAACAACCCCAATTACCACTTCACCACCAGAAGCAATGATAGCAGCTACAGGTGACCAAATAAGACAAGCTCTTGAAGGAATCTTTGGGATAGATGGAGCTTGATTAAATGCATTAGGACAAACTGAAAGAATGACAGCAAAGATTGATTATTTCTATGACACTGAAGCTGAAGATCCTGTGGAATGGCTTGCTGCTTTTGAAAAAGCAGCCACTATTAACCGATAGACTGAAGTTGTAAGAAAGAAGGTTATAGCTGGAGGATATTTAAAAGGAGCTGCAGCTGACTGGTTTGAAGAAAATACAGTTATCATGGGAGATAATTAGGCTACAACTACTAATAATGGGAACAATTTTGTGGATATATTCAACATTTGGTTTATCAACAAAACCTAGAAGAATCAATGGTACCAAGAGCTAACTTCCTTATGGCAATATTCCGACGAATCAGTGGACTTCTATGCTAATAAATTTCGTAAATTAGTAAAAAGGGTAGGATTAACTGATAATGCCCAACAAAAATGAATATTTCTTATAGGACTAAATCCGGCATATACCCTAATAGTGTATGCACAAAACCCTAACGATTTGGCTGCAACGGTAAATGCCACTAGAAACATTGAAATTGGTTATAATTTCACAACGGGAAAAACTCCAAGGGATATAAGTGTAAACCCTTTCACGTCTACTCTTGTTCCATCTAAATCTACTCCAGTTGTTAGTACCGAGATAGATAAACTCACAAGAAATTAGAACAACTTACCATAAATTACGCCAATCTATCTTCAGCAATGATGGCTCAACCTCCAGCTCCGAGAAGAAGAAATGGACTCAACGAATCTGTTTATAGGATCCAGAACATCAGACCTAATACTAACGTTTATCGATCTTAAAACACTAGACCTAATAATTTTACCTGCTATAATTGCAATGCTCCAGGACACATTGCGAGAAATTGTACCCAGCCTTGAAGATATTGTCAAGATAATCATAGATCCCATTTCAGCGAAACTAGAGAAATACATTTAGCCAATCAGTATCTCGACAATAATTATGACAACTATGATTACAAAACAGATAAAAATAAAGAATATGAAGTTTATTTGAATACCCGATCGAGACCATATTCTGATAATCTAACGTTTAAAAACTGAAGGATCAAACACGTAGAATCTCAGAGAGAAGAAAACCTTAGAAAGTTTCCTAAGTCAACAGTTATACCAAGTCTCGTGGAAGAATTCGCGCAAACTAATCCTGCCCTAATGCAAACCGAAGCTTCAAGTATTCCTAAAAACATAAAAAGAAGATTAATGCCAGCTCTGATTGAGCAATTGACGGAGTTCAACGTCGCTACTTACCTTCAGAATCTTCCGTGTGGGTTATCAGTTGAACAAGCTGCTCACGCCATTTCAAATTATCGTTACAGTCTAGCTAGGACTGTAAGGAGATCCAAAGAAAAAGCTTCTAAAGAATCCAAAGAAGCCAATTTAGCCAAAAGTGATGACGAACCTACTTCTGCAGCTAAATGCACCTTGTGAATTGGAAGGAAAGCTTAAACTACTATAATCAATAGCAGCACAGTCACAAGCATTATTACAAAAGCCTTGCTGGACAGGTTAGAATACAAAATTGACCGGAACTCGAAAATGATCGTGGTAACAGCTAATGGAGCCAGAACTCGCTCCCTAGAAATTGTAGACAATGTTCTAGTAGTAATAGGAAGAATCAAAATTCTAACTTCCTTCCAAGTACTGGAATCAAGAGATGAGATTTTAATCCTAGGTAATGATTGGCTCTGAAATTCTAATGCTAACATGGATTGGGAAAAATCTACCTTAACTATAAGAAAAAATCAGACAACTATACGAATCCTAATTATCTTTATAAAGATCTTAAAAGTAGTAACTCACGACGCACTAAAAGAAGTTTCAGAAGACGAATATGAAGAAGAGTGTCTCGAAAAAATGTCAATTTACTTTTCTGATTCCTCTGAAGAAGATTTGGTAGACCAAGGTGAGCTAGAATTTAACCCATGGATAAATTTCTACTCTTCAGAGAGTTCTGAAGCTGAAACGGAGGATGACGATGTTGTTGACTTGATAAATGCCAATAAAAATCCAGCTGTATTTTTAACTGAAACTGTCCAAGACGAACCTACACCTACGAGTCAAACTGAACCACTTGATCATCATCAACAAGGACTTTTTCAAGCTCTTTTAAATGACTATTCTGATATTTATGCTAAGAGCCAGACTAGGATCGGAAGAATAAACTTAATTAGGCACCAGATTTTGATCAGTAATGCTGCGCCTATCGCACAAATTCCGTATTGAACTAATCAGAAAAACCGAGAATTCCTTAAGAATGAAATAATAAAAATGGAAGAACAAGGAATAGTCCAAAAATCCTCAAGTCCTTAGGCTTTACCTGTAGTAATTGTAGATAAGAAAGGTGGTGATAAAAGAATTTGCATAGACTATCGCAAATTAAATGCTATTACCAAAGCTGACACCTATCCTTTACCTCAAATTGATGATCTATTAGAAAGTTTTGGAGCCGCCTAATAGTTTACTACATTGGACTTGGCAAGTGAATACTGGTAAGTAGCTATAGATAAAGTGGATATAGAAAAAACAGCATTTATAACACCTTTCGGGTTATACGAATTTTTAGTAATGCTTTTTGGACTAAGCTATGCATCTGAAATGTTTCAAAGATTAATGAATAAAGTATTACAAGACTTTTTCAGGAACTTCGTCACTGTATATTTAGATAATATTATAATCTATTCAAAAGGAAGCTTTGAAATGCATATGGACCATATATTCCAAGCTATTCGGAATGCAAACTTAAAAATTAAGTTGAAGAAATGTTATTTTTGCTTACCCAATATCCACTTCTTAGGACATGTAGTAGGACGGAACAGAATTCGCTCAGACCCAGAAAAAATAATTAAAGTCAAGAATTTTCCAAAACTGACGAACTTGACGCAACTTTGTGCTGCACTAGGGTTATTTTCATACTATCGCAAGTTTATAAAGGATTTTTCAAGGATTGCTTGACCCATGCTTACT